ACAGGGAAGAATACACGGACCAGTGAATAGTTTGCATGGTTGACTGGCAGGAGTCTTAAACTGCATGCCTGCCAGTACCCCACACCTTGGCAGTGCTGTCAGACTTCCCAAAGCTTCATTTTCCCTGTCTGTACGAAGGAGGATAATTGCCCTTAATCACCTTTGCAAGCACTCTGGGCCTGATCCAAAGCCCCCTGAAATGCAAGGGAAGACTACAGATGCCTTCACTCAGTTTTGGATCCAGGCATCTGAATCACACCTGCTGAATAGTATTATTATAGCTATGTTTGCTTCCTGGGCCTGAACTATGGTCATTGTTGCTGTAAGGAGTAAAGCTAAACCCCCCAGATAGCATTATGGTACAAGTATCCTTTCAGAGAGATGCTGTTGCATTCGATCCTACTGATATTATTCAAGGAACATGTTGCATAGAGAAATTCAGTAAATACAGTCCATTAAGTCGCTCTACCTCTCGGCTAATGAAATATAGCAGTGTTTGGAAACTGCAGAGTTCACTTTCCACCCCAGTAAGCATGCCCACCCATACACTTCCACAGCTTAGCTCAGGGTTTTAGCCATATAATAACCTCATACTTCTCCTTGAAAATTCTCCGCCATCTGTTCATTATTATTTTGCTTTCACAAAGGCCACTCTTTTTTATAAAAGCCACACAAACACTTTAGCAAACTGTCAGTGTTAGGCTTTGAAACCAGGCATCTACTCCCTGAGTTAGAAAGAGTGGCTACTGAGGGGTTATGACTTTATCCTGCAGTGCTTATAGTGCGGAGGACAGGTTGTGGGACTGGGGCTTTAGGTAATAAAGACCTGATGTGCACTAAATTCACAGATTAACACTTAATTGACGTTATCTGATGTTTGGACCTGCTACTCCGGGCACTCCTCTCGTTTCTCACAGGGAGTATATGATTATTGCTTATGCTGGGGCTCAGAGCGGAGATTGAAGGGAAACTCTTTCATTCCTTTGCTATGGGTGAGCTAAGGGGCATCTGAAGTACTCATTTTATTAGCAGATGCATGAGGTAGTTGTGCAGAATTAAAGGCTGTGAGTGTAACCTTGCAAATATTTTTTTTCAGGAATAAGCTTCACTTGTTCTTCAGAGCACTGTGCCACACATTCCTGCACCCACATGGCGCTCCTACAAAATGCCACTAGATGGCAGCCAGAAACACACATACATATACATATACTTATACATACATCTATATACACACACGGATATCTATCTATAGATAGATAGATAGATAGATCTCCGTGTAGGGGGGTGTGTGTGCGTGTGTGTGTATACATAATTTAACCCATTTTTCTAATGGACTTTGAAATGCCTGTCCATGCATCTGGTTAGAAGGAAAACCCCCTACATGCTACTGCTGCTTTTTTCTAATATTGAGGTTCAAAGAGATCTGGAACAGGCTGAAAGAGCATTTCATTGTTTCTCTGAGGGCCTGATGATAACCGTCTTCAACCTGTGCACTTTGACAAAGCACAACTGTAGGCTCAATAATTATTCTTGTAGCCGTACTCACACAATTGGTCATTACCAGGGATCCTGGTTTTGTCTGATAAAAAAAAAAAAAATCAACATTTTCTGATTGAATGCCCTCCATTCACATTTTTCCATGATTAAAACAAACTGCTACTATATAGCTGTGTGTGTGTGTGTATTAGGGTGGCCAAATCTGAATCGAATCAGAGGACTCTTTAATCTCTTTCAATCAGATCAGAGATTCAGACATAGAGACAGCTAGACAGCTTTAACTGTTTTTTCTACATACCTCTAGGTAGCAGGGGCTTGTGATGGCTGCGGTGCTGGGGTGCACGGTGTCCCAGAGGAGCGCGGGGGCTCCCAGTGCGCTTGACAGCAGGCCTGGAAGTGGATGAGAAGCACTTCCAGTCCACTTCTGGTCCACCAGGGAGGGCGCAGGGCCCCCGTGCCCTCCCTGGTTTGGTGGTTGGTGCTTCCTGGGCTTGGGGGAGCAGCCAGGGTCCCCCTGCGACCTATTGCCGAGCCAGGGAGGCGCAGGGGACTGCCCCGCGTGCTTCCTGGCAGACCTGGAAGTGGACCGGAAGTACTTCCTGTCCACTTCCTGGTCCACCGCCCAGCAGTGGAGGCCACCCCCCCCGCACTGCACTCCTGTGGGACTGACTCCCCACGTGCCCCTGCATCGCAGCCATCATGAGCCACGCCTGCTACCTCGAGGTACGTAGAACAAACTTTAAAATCTCTGTCTGTGTCTGAATCGCTGACTCGCCGAACCAGCATCAAATCTTCAGATTCGGATTCGGCCGAATCTAATCGGGGACAGTGATCCGAATCAATGAATCGAATGAATCGCTGCCCCCGAGTCGGGCCGAATCCAAATCCAATAGGGCCCACTTTGCATGCCCCTAGTGTGTGTACATATGTGTGTGTGTGTGTGTGTGTGTAGTGTGTGTGTAGTGTGTGTGTAGTGTGTATGTGTGTATATGTATGTGTGGTGTGTGTGTATATGTATGTGTGGTGTGTGTGTGTGTGTGGTGTGTGTGTATATGTATGTGTGGTGTATGTGTGGTGTGTGTGTGTAGTGTGTGTATATGTGTGTGTGGTGTGTGTGTGTGTGTAGTGTGTGTATATGTGTGTGTGGTGTGTGTAGTGTGTGTATATGTGTGTGTGGTGTGTGTGTGTGTGGTGTGTGTATGTATAGTGTGTGTGTGTGCGTAGTGTGTGGTGTGTGTGTGTGGTGTGTGTATATGTATGTGTGGTGTGTGTATGTATAGTGTGTGTGTGTGTGTAGTGCGTGGTGTGTGTGTGTAGTGTGTGTATATGTATGTGTGGTGTGTGTGTGTGTAGTGTGTGGTGTGTGTGTGTAGTGTGTGTATATGTATGTGTGGTGTGTGTGTGTGTGTAGTGTGTGTGTGTGTGTGTATGTATGTGTGGTGTGTGTGTATGTGTGTGTGTGTGTAGTGTGCGTATATGTGTGTGTAGTGTGTATGTGTATAGTGTGTGTGTAGTGTGTGTGTATATGTGTGTGTGTATATGTATGTGTGGTGTGTGTGTGTGTGTGTGTAGTGTGTATGTGTATAGTGTGTGTGTGTGTAGTGTGTGTGTATATGTGTGTGTGTGTGTATATGTGTACACAAACCTAATGATAATGACATCTAGTTCTTATCATTCCTAAGTCTCAAGCACCTTCCAAAAGAGGCAATTACTATCAGCCTTCCTTTCAGAGGTATTGCGAGAGAAAGTGAGGTGCCACAGATCACTAAGCAGGGCAGCGGCAGAGCCAGCATTATAACACTGCTCTCCCAAACCCCAGGCCTTGGCCCTTATGCTGCACCGGTGACAGTGCTGGGCCCTGATCCTGCAATAAGCGGAGCAAAGCAGGGCTTTGCTCCTACACAGAGCCCCGCTGACTACCACTGGGCTCTGAAGGATGGAGTCCTGCTGTTATGAGTCAAATTGCAGGCCTGTGGCCTTAGTGATAAGAGAGAATGTGTGCGTTGAAAGAAATGGGTTCATGAAAGAAATGGGCATCATAGCAATAACAGTGACATGTTCTGTCTGAACAAGGAAACCCCTCAGCCCCCTTGCCTGCCTGCTGTCAGGTGGCAGTGTCATGTAGGCACCAGAAGCTGGCAGGGTGAATATCTTCTGGGGAGTTCATGTCAGTCTGGTACTGCTCAGTATGTATAAAGGTGGCAAAATCGAGCCTTAATTAATTAACTCGTTATTTTTTTTATGATGTTCAGTAAGCCTTTGTGGCGGCCAGGGGCTCTCAGATCTTTGATCGAGAGGTGGTGATTTATTGGCCAATTATTCATCCCAGCCCCATCCGTCACGCTGGAAAGGGGCATTGTGATCTCATCAGTCTAAGTAAATGTGACACGGAAGGATTTTATCAAATGAAAGGGGGAGCTGATGGATGGTGATCTTTACAACATCAGGGAAGTATTGATTCAAGCCAATATATTATCTCCAGCATTAATATCATGGAGACTGCAGCAAATAGAGACACCGCAATATTGTTAGTGTTTTTTACATGATGAAGGATTGCCCTTCCGTGAGGCATGATTTCAATGAGGAGTGATGCATGAGGCCATTAATTGGTTTCTTATGGAAATGTTAGCTGGTGCTTTCATCAGAACAGGAAACAAGAGAAACACACAATTATCTTTTTAATATTACCACTGAATCCAGGGGTAAGCAGTATGTGATGCATCCTCTGTATACAGAAATCCTATAGTCCAGGATTAAGTATTTGTGGGGCTCTGTATGTGTGTGTGTGTGAGAGCGAGATAATGTATTCCCCAGCGGGCTGATATTATCAGAGGATGGCACACTCTAAACAATATCATGTATGCGAGTATCATGATCCCATCTGAGTTTGCAGAAGCAATGATAACTACATGGTAATTTAAGTCATCACAAGAACAAGATACTGGAGGAGATGTAGTATGTCATCTCATGTTAATTCTGCATTATAAACTGGTCCCAGTGAGAGAAGTAATTGTTTGCATTGAGTAGGATCAGCAGATTCTGATGGTAGAGGTAACAGCACAGGTTCTTTAAACAGAAAGGAGACGCCATTGCATTCAGAATACAGCAAGTGCTCATTCAGATTAGGAGGGGACTGGTTCAGAAGCTCCCCTAGGTTCAGAGGTAAGTCCCGACGTCCCAATGGTGATCAGAATGAAAGGTCTCCAGTGGCTGCTGGATAAAAGCGCTCGAGCAACATCTGAGAGCTGCACTATCCAGCATTGTGGGGTCTGCAGAGCTGTCTGCAAATCTCCTAGGAACAGGCCCATGTCTGGTATTCTGGGTCCTCAGCTTTTGGTCATAAAAGCAAAGAAAACAACAAGGAAAACATTGCATCAAGGGAATTGGGAGCAGTCATGTTTCAGTGATATTAGGAAGTTGAAAATCCAAATAAAAAATGAAAAACTCTGATCTAGTTTGAACAAATATTCTGTGGGTGCTGAAAGCCAGTGATTTCATCTCAAATAATTCATTGGTGCCTAAAGTAGTTTTCTATCCTGGCTTAATTCACATTTCCAAGGCTCCTAGCACCATAGAACGCATCTATTTGTCTGTCTGTCTGTCTGTCTCTATTTATTTCAAGTTAGTCTTATCCATCCAGAACATTAACATTAACAAACTTAGCAAAATATTTACTTATGTGCCAAAAGCACAGTCAAGGGAAAGACGACCTGGAAAACGTGCCTAGAGTTTCCCAAAACTGGTCTAATAAATATTACTTCCATGTCTTCTGCCTGCTTAGGGGAGTCTGTTTTGCCCTTGACTCACACTCCAGAGCTTACCATTAACGGGAGATCAAAGCACACACTCGGGATCAAATACACCTCCCAGGGCCCAGTCATGCCATAGCCTTCTAGCAAGGCTGCTCTGTGACGGTGTGAGGTCCATCTGCATGGAGGTCATTACAGAACGGAGGCCTAAGCATTGAATCAAGAGCAGAGGCTCCAGTTCAGGAATGCATTTAATCATGGACTTAGGTCCCGCTGGCTTCCCAAATAGAGATTTTTTTTTCCTGAATCAGAGGCAGAATGATGCCATCTTTCCCCCTTCTGCTACTATTTGTCTTTTTAATTTGAAGGTTGTTCCTCTGAGTTTAGCTGAGGCTTTTGTGTTAATGACGGATGCCTCTTTCCTGCTATCCAATATACTTTCTAGCAGCAGCATTATTAATGTGTCAACTAAGTTCTCCTCATATTCATCAGGGCCAGATGGCAATAGGAAGCACTTCTGACTTTAAAATTATCTACCTCACCAAGAAAGAAAGTGAGAGGATTAATCTTAGACCAGCAATGCTTCAAAGTCAATGCCATTCTCCAAACAAGATGACACCTAAACAACTAGGCCAGTGCAAAAGACCTGGATTCGTGTTGACAGAAAGGAGGGACCTGCCCTGCAGTGCTTACATTTTACCAGGGATCAGGTTGCTACATGCAGGATATAACATAGTCTTTGAATTGCAAATGCTGATTGAGAAGCCTTCAGTCTGGGGGGACCACACACATAACATCACATTTGCTAGGAGTATCAAATGTAGCTGTAGGATCCAGGGGCTGGCATATTATTTGCAGTCTTTTCATAGCTTATATTCACAGAGAATATTCACCTATGAACGTTATAGCGAAGCAATTGAAGGAATGACATCAATGTGCATAAATTAAAGCATATTAAGCCTCTCACCCCCTCCCTTGTGGATTCTCTTATTTGGGACTGAAGTGGCCTTAGTTCCCCTATAGATGAATCCTCCTACAGAGTAACACTGGGTGCATCTGCACGTTGGTACTGTGCAGTGGTTTAGTACTTGCTTAAGCAAGTACTAAATGACTGTATGGTACCTAACGCTACTGTGCAGTCCTGGCAGCACACGGGTCGTTTCCGACTCTACTGCACAGTAGCGGCAGCATCACGGTTAGTGCCCGCAGATGCTATGTCACTGTAGCATCTCGTGTAGATGCACCTTTTATACCTTTATTCTCTTAACTTCTCTAGATTCAGAGAGAGAACTTCAGAGTCTGGGAATGCATTTCCATCTTGCTCCTATACTGTCAAACAGTTGTGGCATTGTCGCTCTGAGGTCGCCTGGGACAGAAATACAGTGCATAAGACCTCTTATTATTGTTGCCACGTTCAGCCATCAACAGTTGCAAATGAAGTGAAAGTAAAACCAAATGTAAACAGCGCAATGGAAAAAAAGAACTCATAGAGCCGTGGATTCAATTTTCATTCAGTCATTAGTCAGTCAAATTCCTGCAGACTTAATTACTTGAATAAAGTCTAAATGAAAACTGTGCAAGGACCTGAGAATATGTTCCACTGTGTCAGCTTCTTGTATATGAGCCATACACCCATATCCTGAACCGCACCCCCTGCCTGGACTAGATCTTTCTGATTTGCAAAGTGCCGGTCCAAACCTAAAAAGCCACCTTATTGCTGCATTTTCTTAACACTGGCACAAAGGCAAGACAGGAGACGTGTTGCTGTGTCAGAGAACTTGTCTGCGTTAGAAGAGCAACCCCAATGTTCCCATCCATCATATAAATGGTCTCTGCAAACACTTTCCTGGATCCTGTTTGTGTTCTAGCTGTCATTGCTGGTGAAAGTAATGGCCTGTGATCATTCACACCATTAGTTTTAATAGATTATACCTGCATCATCTAAACTAAGGCATAGGTATAACTTTATTTGCA